TTAAGGGCAAGAGAAAACATTATCAGATAAAGAATTAAGCTAAATATTTCATCAGGTATATTGCTGGAGACAAATAACTATTCAGTGGATATTCTGTCAATTTTAATATGTTCACTGCCTGTTCAGAATTGTCTTGAGAATTAGAGAGGTGAATTACTATTGAAACAGACATCCTCATCTTTAATCTCAGCAGTCTGTGTAAGACTAAGCTTCTTGGAATCAAAGTTGAGTGTAGAAATGTGAATCCTCTGGAGTAACAGATGTCAAATAGTTCAGCCTAACAAGTCTTCAGTTTGAAAGTATAAAGTAGAAAAATGAAACAAAACATTTGAATAGACACATACTTATGGCATTTCTGAATACCAAAGATAAAGCAAAAGTAAATTTAAAAAACTGTCAGAGAGAGAGAGGAAAAAGAAATCCTACATGCTATATACAAAAGAATGGCAATCAATTGATCATTAGCCATAACTAGAAGCAAGAAGAGCCGTAACTTCGAAGTTCTGAGGACAAATTATTTTTAACCAATAGTTCTATATTTTGGGAAATTATCAACTGATGTTAAGTGTAAAATATATTTTCAGGTCTCTAATGACTCAAGGAATTTGCCACTTGCCCTATTATCACATTTCTAGAGATGCTGACATGTGAAACTGGAAACTAAATATATTCCAGGGGAGAAAATTAAGAAATGTAATGAGATATATAATAAAAATATAATTAACACTGATGATTCAAAACTTACTTAAGCAAGAATGTTGATGACATTAAATTTTATTAATTCCCTTGTAACCTCTTAGTTCTTGATTCTAAAATAACAGATTTATCAAATTATAGTACTATAAATGCTATTTTTAATATTATGTGGTGCTTATACCTGTGCAACTTGAAAGTCTGTGATTAACCAGGTCTTTCTGTGTTAGGTGGATTTAACTATTTGGGGTTTCCAGTTATGCTTTTTGTTTTCCCCCCACGATTTACCTAAGCCAGCTTTATTGGAAATATAGCTGACAGTTTGATTTCTAATTGACAGTTTTGTCAGTCAACAAATAAATTCTGAACTTAGGCAAAGAAGAGAGATTCTATTTATTGTGCCCTAAAATACCCAAATATAGTCTCTAAGTACAATTTGTTGAGTTGGACCTCATTCAGAAACACAGGTTTTTTTAGGGGGCTGGCACATGTAGGCTTTAAGTCTTAAGGGATCATCTATCATTCCATACAGTGTGATTGTAGCTCACTATAACCTCGAATTCATGTGCTCAAGCAATCCTCCTGTCTCAGCCTTAGGACATGCACATGCCATCATGCCTGTCTCATGTATTTTTACTTTTTCGTAGAAATGGGGTCTCACCCTGTTGCCCAGGCTGAGTCTCAAACACCTAGGCTTGAGCAATTCTCCCACCTCACCCTCCCAAAGTGCTGGGATTACAGGCATGAGTCACCATTACTGGCCTTTGTGGTTGGCTTTAATCGGCCTTCCTGAACAAGAAGCTTTTAGGCTAAAACATAGGCTGGAGAGCTAACAATGGGAAATACATTCTTAATATGAGGGTGAAAGGTATAAAAGAAAAGGAGTGAAATTTTCAGGTCTGGTTGTTCTAAATGTAACAGTAAAAGAGAAGACGTTTTTATTAAATAAAAAAGGAGCCTGGAGTTCAAAGAAATCGAACAGAGAGTGATGGATAAGATCTCAGAGAGTCATGGCATCCCTACAGGAAGTCCACACTGAATAAACTATGAAGAATTATAATGTTAATACTGAGACTATATATTGAGAATAAGTGACTCACCCTTAAATGTCAGGAGCCTACAGAGAAACTGCTCAGTTTTTAAAGGGTGAAAACCAAGAAAATGACTGTGAAGCATTCTAAGAATTACTAGCTGAGTTTTAGTTTGACACAATTATTATAGGTTAACTATACTCTACATAAACCTGCTAGAGAAATTTATGGAATTGATGATTTAAAGAAAAGTACAGCAAAGATGAGGCAAAGTAAAGGCAAACTAGGCAGACCAACAATAGATTGACTTTAGGCCGAAGTTACATGTTACTCTGATGAAACAACAGCAATTGTTTAATAATACCCAGGAAGGTAAAGATGGACAAGACAAGATTTTCATGACTAGTGGGTGGTTTAGTAGATTCAATGTTGTTGATTTCTTATTTCTCATAATAAGACAATAGAGAGAAATATAAGCAAAACTAATGCCTGGACCAGAAAGCAAAGAAAAAGGAGAATTAAAGTAGGAACACAAATCTTGTAAGTTGTTGTAACCTATGTGTGTTAAATTTACTGGATGGTAAGTGTGCCTCAAATTAAACCTTTGTTTAGGACTGCCAAGTTACAAATTTCTGAACTTTGCAAGAATTTGGAATGTCTTAAATGCTGCTCTCTGAAAGTAACTCCCCCATATGGCTTTTTAAAAAATGTACCATAATTAACTCCTCTAAAGATTTCTCCCAATTAAATTTAAAGTTACAGACTGTCAATTCTAAATAGCTGCTATCCTAGCAAATTTGAAAATAAGATATTGTCTAGTTCTGGCTATCCTCACAAAGACTACTGAATCTCTGCTATGAATTATGGGATAGTGAGCATAGCTGTGTTAAGTACTAAGCCCTGGAAATACCATTTTGCTGGTCCAGTGGATAGAATTTAGAAACAACTGATAGGATAACACAGGTTGCAACTGTGTACATACAATCTATAGTGTTCAACATTATGAAAAATGTTGCTTTATTTATTGTTTTTATTTATTTATTTTTTAAATGTACTTAAAATTATTTTTCATCTTGATAGAAGACTAGCAGACATGAAATTTGAACACAGAAAAGAGCATAACTCATCAAAGTGCACTGAAAGAGGATATGGTTTCTTTAAAAAGAAAGAAAATTGGAATTGTTTAAATGAAATTTTAAACACTTGGAAAAATTCAAGAATAAGCTGTCAACATTTAATAATATTAATAATTAACAACATAAAATTCAATACAAATAAAGTTTGAAACCACATAATTTAAAAGTAAATTGTCTATCTCTAATAAAACTCATTATGTGAAGACAATGTACTCTCTGGTAATCCAGAAATCAAGCCACAGTGCCATGAAAGTTCCGAATAGGTGTTAACAATTATTCATATAAGTCTTTGAACACTGGTTGCATATCTATGCTCATAGAGTTATTGCTATGGGATAATCAATAATAAGGGAAATACTTTTGTGCTTTCATTAATTATCTCTGACTTGCCTTGTTAAATCCATTTGAACCTAAATACCATTAATCCATGGGGAATAACTGTACTAAGAAATGTTAGCCATTTTTGCCTTATAGAATGTTCTTAATATGCTTCTTAATATTAAAACAAGTATTCTACGTAATACATTTTACAGTTACATTTTGCCAATACATGTTGCAAAATAAAACCCAAAGTCAAGCATGGTAAGATATTTAAGGGAAGAACTAGTATTTTTTCGGACTGTGAGGGTACTTAGTAGTTGAGAAATGAATCCATAAAATTATTATCAAATCAACCCAACAGTGTATAAGGTTAATAATAGTTAAACTTTAAATATGTTATTTTAAATTGAAATGTTTATCTTTAGTAGCTATTTAAAAAAAAATATTCCAGTTGGTTCCATCAACAACTAATAAAGTATGCAGTGCACTGCCTCGGTATCAGACTTATATGCAATTGTGAAAGCTGTTCAGATTGCCATTCTTAGTTAAGTATTTCTCTGGGAGAAATGAGAATTAACTTTTAAGGGAAATAAACTGTTTCCATTAGTCAGGCTGGGTTTTGATCATTTATATATTTTTAGACTTGAAATCAACTGCCAACATTTTAAAAAAATTAACAGAGGAAAGTATTTTTTAGAAGAATGTTTTTCTCAATAAATAGTTATGAAATAGAGTATATCACTAACTGGTAGGACTAAACAAAATTAAGACATTTGAAACAGATTATGATAATATTTAAACATATTTTTGAGTGATCAGTAACTAAAGAATAAATATACATTATTGATTATGGCTGAGCATTTGATTGTATTGTAGAAATAATGATGTTCTCAAGGTCATTTTTTCTGGACAATGTTCCTACTGAACTGGGATATATGTACATAATTTTTAGTAATTAGCAAACTAATAAACAATTAGGTTAGTGAGTTGTTCGGCAACTTGTAAGTATATACTTCCCCATTATTAGTAAACATTTACAAAGCAAGTGAGAAAGCAAAATATGAAGTCAATTGATTAGCCTGTATAGTATAGTCCTAAGAGCCTATCTGTTACAAAACCATGATGAAAGCAGTGAATATTCTTTCATAGGAAAGAAGGAAAATGTGAAAACTAAAAACACAATGTAAGAAATATTTGAGAAGAAGGAAAAGAAATAATTAACCAATAGATTCTGGAATAAAGAGAAATTGATTTACATTTAAAGAACATGTCCTAAAGGTGCCATTTTGTCAATGAAAATGTTACTATGTATTTTTAAAATGTTATTTCGGGACCTACTTGCTTTCCAACAGCTGCTGCAACTCAAAATTTGCCAATGTTGCAAGTCATTTAAATGTTCCATATTATATATGAATGAAAAGATACACTATCAATTTCCTGACAGATGCAAAACAATCTGCTCTGAGTCTAAAATAAGTTTATATTCAATCAGTCAGAGACATGTTTCTCCTTTACTCCATTTCAAAGAGTAGATACTTATAATTGCCACGAGAGAAAACAAAGGTAGATGGTATAATCTCATTTTATCATACCAATCAGGTATAATTTTTACCATCAATAGAGTTTTGCATTACTTTTAAGGATTTTGAAACACATCCATGGATGGTTACACTGAAGAAACTGCTTATTTCCACCACAGGCCAACACTGGCTTCAATATAGTTCTTTTGTTTCCAACCACTCTCTTTTTAATTCCCTATAAATAATAATAAAGAATTAGTAAAAGTTAGAAAAAGAGGGGAAAAAATCCCCAAACCTACTTTTTCTTCAGTCTTCGATCCTTCTCAGCTTGAGTTCCGAGTTTGCCTAACCCCAGGGACTCCTGAGCTGCAGCTTCAGTCTCCATAAAGCCTCCTGTGAAGAGAAGTAACTAAGTATTCAGATTATGTTGGATAGGTTGTGTCAATTCTGAAGTCAGGTTGTTAAACGTTTAGTTGAGCAACTGTTTAGTATCACATTTTAAAATGTTCCTTATATTACTAACCTAACATGCATAAAATGGCATGGGTACATACATAAACATACACTGAGAAAATGAAAACAAACAGTACCTACGGGGATACAATTTGTTGCACCCAGTGGCAACATAATGAATGTGGCCTGTACACTGACAGACACTTGAATATACTGTCCTCAAGTCTTAAGGTCTGTTTTTATACTTTTCCTATGGAAAATAAGTACAAATATCTACACAGTGTGTGATATTTGTTTATTTTTTCAACACGTGAAGTATTTGCAATATTTCACATATAATGGGATAAATGATAGTCAATTGGGTAGGAACTCAAGTATATGTTTTCCATTACAAGTTGAAAGAATGGAGAGGCTTTTGCTGACTTTTAAGAGCTCTTCATAGACTGCTCCAGGAAATTTGTTCTGCTCTACTGGCTGACTCCAATATCCTCTTACTTCCATAACTTGATGTGTTCTGAGAAGGTTCTTGTGTTGTTTTAGAAACTTCATAATATTTTTTGAAAAAATTCTAAATTTCTTCAAAAGAGTTTGATAAAAATAGCTATTACCCAGTAGGTCATAAATTCTCATTTAGTGTCAATATATAATATGTATACCTCATATAACTTTGTAATAAAAAGAGGAAGAAAGAAAAGTATGATGTATTTTAAACAGATATTACAGGATTTCTAAACTTACAAAATTAATTCATAAATTATCTATCGTAATTGAAAAATATGGACTTACTCCCTATGTTCTGAAGTCAAACTAAATGAAAATGCTCACTATTTTTAAATGGGTTAAGGTATATAATTTTTTTTATAAAAGAAATTTAAACTCCAGTTAAGGTCAAGATTACATAGAAAGATTTAAGCTAATACAAACTCTTACAAAGACTATGCAAGAAATTTCATCACTATATCGGCAAATAAGACTATCGAAGACAACTTTTGCTCTTCTCTCATTGTAGTGAGCACTTCCTTACTTAACATTTGCAGGACTTGACCAAGATATGGTTTCTCTTTAGCAGAGTAAAATATCTTACCAAGGCGCCAGCAGCAAATGTTGATGTTACTATTTTTAACAACTTATTTTAACAAATAATTTATAGTACTGGATAATATTAACTTTTGAACATTGATATAAATAAATTAATCTCATTCCTGATAACTGTCTTACTGAATTGTATAATTTTTTAAAAGTCTCCTTTAATTAAGAACACGTTTATTGCTGTCTAGATCTAATTCAGAGATGTGGAGTTTGAGGGCCAAAATTTGTTTTACTTATTATGCACATGTTTAATGAATGCAGGTACTTAAATCTTTTTTTATTATGAAAGATTTCTCTTCTTGGTATGGATTAGGAAAGTTTTCCTCTGGTGACTAAAGTAGTCTTGGGAAACACTTTGAAATGGGAAAGTTTCCATTATGTACAGTGAGTGCATATTTTCATTTTATTTGTCTCATCTGTATATTTCCCTTACTGTATATCAATAAATTATTACTCAGAGTCTTCAAATAATAATAAAAATGTTCTCTTGAAATGTAAATGAAAATGAATGAGTCATTTAAAAGTTATAACATTCTTGAATGGTCCATATGGGGACATAGAGATTGATGAGGCAGACATTTTCAATAAACAGTGAAACATTTTCAGCCACCAGGTGGTTGGATGAATCAGGTTTTTATTCCTCTGAGAAATACAAGAACATTTAAATTATGATTTAAATGTATTCATACACCCAAAATTTTAATAGAAAAAAATCACATTTTTAAATAATAAAACTTGAAATAAAAGCAAAGAAAAATGTAGGAATATTTTGTGAGCTAAATCTAGATATTTTATTTTCTCGTAAATAAACATAAAAATAAAAAGCATGAAGAACTTAGAAATACTGGGAGTATTTCAAAATCTAGTGTCTTGTTTTCAAAGCATTTGATAGATTACTGGAAATACATCCTGCGCAAAAAATGCCAAATACAAATGAGACGTAAGGCCATTGTAAGTAAAGTTATTTTTAAGCATCACATTCAGGACAGTGTACTTAACCAGGAGAAAAGTCCCAGCAAGTGCATATTTTCAGCCCAATAAAAACACTTCTGAAGGAGGACATTTTTTCATAGAATTGACCTAGCTGCCTCACTCATCTCATGTTTATCTTTCCACATACTTTATCAACTAACCGGTAAGGGTGACCTTAGCAAAACCAGTTTGCTAAATCTTTTACTCTATAGATGATTATCTGAATCCAGTGAGAGTCTGTCTCATTCTTATCCAGGCATCAGTGGGCTCATATGGCTATGTGAACTTCAGAAATATCTATTTATCTATACCAATATTTTATTCACTCACTACATGTGACTATTAAGCTCTCGAAATATGCCTAATCCAAGTGATGTACTATAAGTGTAAAATACACACCAGGTTTTGAAAACGTGGTAGAAAAAATACATGTAATTAACAAATTTTAAGTGATCATGTGTTGAAATGAGAATATTGTTTCTATATTGGGTTAAATAAAATGTAGGATTAAAATTAATCCCAACTATCCCTTTTGACTTTTCTTAATGTAGTTACCAGAAAATTTAAAATTACATACGTGGTTCACATTTGTGGCTTATATTATATTAATGTTGGCCAGCACTATATACCAGAGTTTCTACCTGGATACAGTACATCCATAGAAGGAATGTAAATGTTTGTGTATGTTGAAGGAGGGTGCATTTTTGGGGGTACTATGATTGGCACACACTGGACAGGGGACAGGAATTCTAAACCTCCTTCATTAAGAAGAGGATCTGTAGCTTCTTTTTTCTTTTTTTTCTTTTTGCAGGGTCTCAGTCTGTCCCAGGCTGGGGTGCAGAGGCACCATCAGAGCTCACTGCAGCCTCAAACTGCTGGACTCAACCTATCCTCCTCCCGAGTCCCTGGGACTATAGATGTGTGCTACCATGCCTGGCTAGTTTTTCCACTTTTTGTAGAGATGAGGTCTTGCTATGTTGCCTAGGTAGGTCTTGAACTGCTGTCCTCAAGGGATCCTTTGACTTCCCTCCCAAAGCATTGGGATTACAGATGTGAGCCACCAGGCCTGGCCTAGCTTGTCATTCTCAAAATGACAAGTGCCTCAGAGGAGAAACAGAGAGAAACTGGTGTGTGGAAGCTAGGGGTTACTCATTCTTCAGGAGGTCTATTAGGAAACTATGTGGAAAGAACACAATGAACTCCACCCCTTTCATGGCCTGAAGTGCTTGGGCTTGAAGGTTTGAGTTCCATGATTCAGTGGACTACTTACATAATAAATTGTTTATCACCTTGTCAGGGTCCGCCTAGGGCTTGCGTGTGAGCAAGGCAGCATCCTTGCCCTCAAATAAGTTTTCTTGGCTATGACTCAGGCACGTTTACTTCTGAGACCTTTGAGGACTTGGATTTGTTGAGGGCAAGACCATTCCTAGTGTGTGACACACACAGTCAAGGAATTTTTTTTTTTTTTTTTTTTTTTTTGCCAGCCCCTCTTCCTATGTAAACAGTTTTGAACCACTAAAAAATCAGTGGGACAACAATCTACTAATTCAATTTCATACAATACCATTCTTGCCAGTGGGAGCGAGGGATCCAATTGCCAGACCACCCTCTTGAAAACAGGGTCAGATCACTGGTTCAGGATGACTCCATAGATGCGAGTCACTAGGCTCCCTAAGGCATCTGGTCGAGTACATGCATGGGGTAGAGTGTCAATGAAAACCCTGAAGGCGAGAAACAGGGACCCAGGCCCCTGCTGTTTGGCTGGATCGGGCAGCATGTCCAGATGGCACTACTTCCCTGCTGGTCCCAGTGTCTGAATAGTAACTAAGAACATTTTGATGCTTCCAGCGATTAGACCCCAGGTCCAGTTCTTGGCTGGGGGTGCCTTGCCCAGATGGCACTGCCAGCCTCAAACTACCCCAGACATTACAGGAGTTCTTAAAATTTTTCAAGGAAGATGCTACAAAATGTAGGGCTCGTGAAGGCTCAGGGCTGCAGAGCTCAGGAAGGAGACTCACATGCCCAGATCTATAGATGGAACTAGTTGGAGATTATCTATTCATTTGGATTGTGAAGGTGTGAAAGTTGTTAGAACCAAAATGGAAAAGAAAATCCTGGCACATAGAGCCAGTGAAGGCCATGAACAGAGAGTTCTCATGCTCCCATGCATGATAGCAACAACAACAACAACAACAACAACAACAACAAAAGACCCTACGAAAGCCACAACCTTGCACAAAGGTCATTGCAATCCTATGCAAAAAATATTTTTATAGGGATATCTGTCTGGCAATTGCCTGTCCAACCTCTGATTGGTGGCACCCTTGTTATTAATTTGAGTAGTCAAAGATAATTGTTTCAAAAAATTATACAATCTTAATTTTTTGCCTTTAAAAATCTTTGTCTTCCTTTCCTTCCCTGAATGTACACATAGTTTATAGTTTACTATGACATACATACTCTTATCGCAATGCTCTATTCCTAAATAAACATCTTTTCTTTTAGAGAGCATCTGTATCTGTTATTTAGGCCAACAAAGATAAATATCTCCACATTTCCCAGTCCTTAAATTCCATTCAAAATAACTTATTTCATATTGGCCCTTGAGATACAAGTCCGTAAAAATTGCTTGAAAACCCATATTGCAAAGCCTCTGTCCCTCCATTTGTCCAGCAGAGGTCTCTGTCATTGTGTGAAAAAGAGAGCTCTAACTTTAATACAATCTGCTGATGATAGCTGGCTTCCTCTTTCTTTCATTAGACCTGTCTTCATCGTTAATCAAAAGCACGTGGTTTGTATTTAAACACATTTGAATGTATAAATTGTTACTTAATTGTTCAACATCTTTTAGTCTGTTACCTATCTGGAGACTGTATTTA